AGCAGGCCCGCAGTTAAACTAAAGGGCTTATAGCAGGCCATACTTTAAGCACATGACAAAAACATTTTCTCAAATTACACAGAAATGGGCTTTTTAGCATAGTTGACATTAAACATATAGGTGAGGGATAACATAATCACAATTATAAACAATGTGAAACAACTTTAAACGACCTACAAGGTAGATTACAAGCCTTTTTCACTGGGGTAAAATCTTGCGGAGATTCGACAATGGCGGCCTAATTTACATAAAAAATTACGGCGTACTTGGAGACATAATTTTTTTTTTTTTAAAAGTGACCTGGTGTTATAACTTGAGAGAAACACAATGTTTCTTTTTTTTTATTGACTGTTTAAGTAGGCATCTTTTCGAAACAATTGGGTAGCCCTTAAAAGGGCCGTTTGTTGTTTTTTTTCTGCTTTTGTGTGGGGCTCAGGTGGGTTCCCTTTACTGGGCCAATAACTGTTGGACCATCTCTCCCTCTTCTGAGCTGTCACTGTCGTCCGGACGTCTAAACTCGGGTCTTCTGCCCACGAGCTGTATTATGGCATCACTGTTGCGGCACAGGGGGCACGGCTGGTTGTGATCAATTAATCTGGCCGCACATAACAAGCAGGCAGGGCGTTGCAAGCAACGACTGCATACAAAGTTGTTTTGCTCGTTGTCCCCGAGGCAGAGGGTACAGAGGATGCGGTCGGTGGGGACTGAAAACCCCCAGCGGGGAACCCGCCCCTGGTTCCTGGCCTGGGCCTGGGGTCCATCAGGTCTGGGTGGTGGGGGCGGGGATCTGGATGCACGTCTCCGGCGAGGGTGGGCCCTCCGATGCTGGTCGTTCACTTGAATCCTTGACATGTTTAGGCGAAGAATCTCGCGTCCGTTATCGATCCGCCTCACCACAATGTAAGATTCGACCACTATGCCGGGGATTAAATACAAATCCTCATGGAAAATACGATGATTAGCTGCCATGTTCTTCTTTCTTCTTCTTCTTCTTCTTCTTCTTCTTCTTCTTCTTCTTCTCCTTCTCTGGATGTAAACTGTATAATCAGCTACGATCAGAATGACACTGAGAGCTCGGAAGCGTCGGTATTTATACACAATAGCAGACGATTGTGCAATCGCGGCAAAACATCAACAATCCAATCATGTGATCAAATGTGATTGGCTAAAACAAAAAAATCGCTTTTGATCATGTGATCAAAAAAAGCCCCATCACAGTGACAAAGCAAAATTGAAGGGGGAAAAGGCCGAACCCGAGTGCATATATGACGTCATACAATAACATAACACTGATGTAGTATTACATGATTTTTTATTTCTTAAAAACTAACAAAGCTTCTAACTGTCGAATTCTCCTCCGAAATCGTATTCGATCCGCTACTAGGGCCATCCAGGGACTTCTCCGGTCTTCGGGGGGTAATTCGTAGATTTGATTGAGGCTGGTATTAAAAGTCACGGATTTCCTAGCCTGTGTGAAATTTCCAGGTATTTCATTCCGTATTGAATACATACTTTCTCCATCGCATCTATGTCCTGCCACAATAAAATCACTTTGTCCGCTTTGGGATGGGTCAGGAAACTGTAAGGTTTTCCGAAATAACGGGTCAGGTTCAGTCCGTACCATTTCTGGGGCAGAATTGTTTTCATATGTCGACATAGAAAATGTATGGTAGCTAGTCTCCCCACGCTCGTCGCATGATGTGATAAGGTTAGGCATAGTAACCATAAATCCTGAAGGGTTTCCATGATAGTGCTGGCTTCCTGAAATACTTGTTCTGCCTCCGGGGGTAGAGATTCTTGGTGATTTTGTGCCCATCGTACTAAACAATCATACCCATCTAAAATCAGAGAGTGAGTGTGTATCAGGGTTGACATGATAGTCGATTGTGAAGAAAGGACCAGACTTTTCTTCTCATTTATACCCCCAGTATAAAACGTAGGTCTATCGTTTATTTTTTTTTTGCACACGGCCCCCCTCACAGGTGATGCAACAGGTATAAAAAGGTAGGTCAAAGGTGCACACGGCCCCCCTGACTTGAATCGATGCCAAGTATTTACCTGTGTAGTCAGCATATTTTTTGCACACGGCCCTAAACAAACTTGACTCGCTGCCAAGTATTTACCTGTGTAGTCAGCAAAAGAAACGTAGGTAAAAGGTATTGATGCACACGCCCCACAGCAGGTATATCCCAGATAGCATGACTACGTTGGCCCAACGTTGGCTAATGGTTGGACTGTTGGCCGATGGTTGGCGTTGGGTTTACAACGTTGGGTTGGGCCAATGTTAACATTACACTATTTTACTCAGAGGCCGAGGTTGATTAGGGACACAACGTTGGCCCAATGTCGGGCCAATGTCAGCTTTACAATTTTACTCGGAGGCTGAGGTTGGTTGGGGACACAACGTTGGCCCAACATTGGGCCATTGTTGTTGGCTTGTCACCACTGAGTTGGCATATTTTGATGGGAGTACAACATTGGCCCAACGTTGGGCCAACATTGGTGAATCACGTTCTTCTTTTGTTGTAGTTTGTTGGGCATACAACGTTGGCCCAATGTTGGGTCAATGTCAACAAAACAGTATTTTACTTCGAAGCTGGGGTGAGGACACTACAATGACCCAACGTAGGACCACTTTTTACAACGTTGGGTTTACAACGTGGGCCCATTGTTGGGTCAATGTCAACATTACAATATTTTACTCAGAGGCCGAGGTTGGTTGGGGACACAACAGTGACCCAACGTTGTGCCAATGTTGTTAGCTTGTCACCACTAAGCTGACAGATTTTGTTGGGAGTACAACATTGGCCCAACGTTCGGCCAACGTTAGTGAGTCACGACATTATTTCGATACAATATTTTGTATAGACAACGTTTAAGTGAAGTATATGTGAACTGTTTGTTATAATATCGGACAAGAAGATGGAAAAGTGAAAGAAAAAGAAATAGTAATGTTACATATATATATATATACAAACCATGAGTACCTAAAAAACATGCATGACGATGTATCAAGTTATATAACTTTTATATTTTTTGGTTTAATGCAAACTTTAAAATATGTGTAAATGTTTAAACACTACTAGTTCTATAAAGTAAATGTTTTTGAGAATAACATAACAAAAATTCAAATTAACTTGCATATTTTAAAAAATGTAAGAGGAGTAAGACACACACTTTCTAAATTGTTGCATTTAGGGGGCATATTCTAAGATAAGAGAACATTTCCTGACCAAACAATTAGGCCAGGGTTTTTCACAGCGTGAGACTGGCCAGTTTCTATGGTAATTGTGATATCTGATAGGACAGGATGGTCAAATCTGCATCCTTTTAGCACGCCTAACATTTTAATCTCGGATGTTTCCTACAGCAGAACATTGAAGATTTTATGTTAAAAAGAAAGCTTTGGAATGTACGTGTATTCTTTAATGTGGATTAACTTTTATTGTCATGTCCAGACATTTCACATACGGATCGAAATGTAAGTACTATATTAACCTCAAATAACATGTATTTCAGATTTAAAACACAAAATGCAAAGTTTGTTTCAGGTGATCCTTATCTTTTTTTTTCTTAGCTTGCTTTAGTTCTAAATTAAATATGTAACTTAAGATCAGTCGCTAATCACTGTATCCTTTCTGCATAAAAATTTTAAAATAAAATGTATCATTGATCTATGTCAATCAATATTACCTTAATCAAAATCTAATTTGTAAATTTTATTTTTGTTTATCTTTGAATTTTTGCTCAAGGGTCACTTTCGTTTCATAAATTTCTCTTATATTTCTACCATTAAGAAAACAAATTTTGGAATTGTTACCTTGTGTTTCACATGTTTCAGGGAAATCAAATCCCTTATGATTTAAGTTCTCATTTTATCTAATTAGTGGAAATGACTTGGTGAATGAAGAGGAGAGTATTTGCTGTCATGTTTTAAAACATTGTATTGGAAGACAAATAAAGATACCCGGCCTTTTCAAAGATGATAAGGATTTAAAAAGTAAGTAATAAAATACGTGCTCTGTTCCCTTGATAAATGCTGTACTTGTACATTATAATAAATGCAGAAAAAAATTTATAAATAATACATCTGAATAACACCCCCCCCCCAATTTAAACATGTTAAATCTACAAATAATCGAATATCCTATGTAGTAATAGTTTCGAATACACAGAATTAATAAAAAATACTATAAACTTGCAATTGTGTAAGTTAAGTACTGCTTTAATTTAATTTTCATCATTTCTCTTTCTTTTTTGAGATTTGCTTAATAAAATGGATTTTATTTTTTATTTTAAGGAGCTGCTCGGACTAACCGCTTTTATGCCGAATCAATTTCTATGGAATTTCACCGAGTACTACCATGAAGGAAAAATAAGAACAAGCAGGATAAGAAAGAAGAAAATGCGTTCAAAAATACAATGGAGGACAGTGATTGGTTATAAACCTGTTAATAAAAAGTGTATAAGTTAAATGTGTGGAAAACTTTTAAGATTTAGTTTACTAGATACAAATTTCAATCTAAATCAGAGGCAAATTATTTATTGCTTAAACTGTATTAAAACACATTTGTTATTTTATTCTTTCATTTACTTTTCTTGTATAGAAACAATAAATTTAATCACTGATAATTTATTTTGTTATGATAAATTGTAAGAAGTTTAACAAGCCATGTAAATTTATTTTAGGTAACTTGTATTTATTGAGTAGGATTGGTGGTAGATTTTTTTTTGATTTTAAAAACGATCGGATTTGTTAATATACAAGTTTGTAACAATTAAATCTTTATACACATTGGGCCAATGTTGGTCCAATATATCGGGCCAACATTGGGCCAATGAGCAAAATGACATTGGGTCAACGTCATTTGCCAACATCGGCCCAATGTTCTTGAGGACGTTGGGCCAACCTTGGCCCCAGGTCGCGTGCATTGGCCCAATGTTGGCACAACGTTGGGCCGATATCTGCAGAAATAACACTCTACATTGGGCCAACGTTG